TTGCTGCTTTGGCAAGGGGCGGGGCAGTACTGAAACACCGTCTAAGCTGTTCACCAATCACAACGCACTGGGATAGCTAACCAATCACATCACATTTCGTTTTTCGGAAGGCAGGCGTTCATCAAACCCGGAACTAATCAAGCCGTTTGTGCCAGGATGGGGAGAAAGGTATTGGAATAATGTAAATTATGTAAAAAATAATGCGTTTTTCGCACCACCAAGCATGAAAGCATTTTCTAGTACACCTCCAAAACAAATTCAAGACATTGTAAAAGAGCATAATAGGACCCCTTTAAAGCAATAGTTCACAAAAATGAAAATAATTTAACAGTTAATAACAAATTAAACGATTAATTTCAAGAACTGAGTCAGCACGATGCAATGCAGCTCGCAAATGTGTTAAAGAAATAGTTCACCCAAAAATAAAAATATTTTGTCATTTACTTGCCTTCATCTCATTCAAAACCTGTATGACTTTTTCTTCTGTGGAACACAAAAGAAGATATTCTAACAAATGTCTCGGTCTTTTTTTCCCATGCAGTAAGTCATCTGGGTTTGATGTTGGTTTGGACCCCTTTGACTTATTGTATGGACAAAAATAACTGTTCTTTGTTCTGCAGAATGACAGACAGTCATACAGGTTTTGAATGAGATTAGGGTGAGTAAATGATGCCAGAATATTTTTATTGGTGGGTGAACTACACATTTGCATGCTGCACTGCATCTTACTGACTCTGAAAATTGAATGAAAATTGTCATATTCCTCACCCTCATGTTGTTTGACTTACTTTCTTTTGTGTAATGTAAAAAGATATTTTGAAGTATTTTTGTCACCAAACAGTTTTGGTTTCCATTGGCTTCCATCATATGGGCAAAAAATACAATGGAAGACGGTGGGAACTGAAACTGTTTGGTGACAAAAATACTTCAATCATTGGGAACAAGCTTATAGCAAAAGTGCCGTATAAATATATTTCCTGTATCAAAACTCATTTATTTCAACATTTTAATTATTAGAATATATTTTGGTAGTCTAAATATTTGAAAGGTCTCTGGTGGCCGTTGGTGCCTTTTCTCTCTCCCTGGCTCTCTCCTGCCTCTGTTTCATACATTATTGAGCCAGTGTTGGCATATGTACTGAGCGTCAGCGATGCTGGCATGGTGTGCCAGTCTAGTTGGTAAGGAGCTCTGGTAAAGAGCTCCTCACACCCTGTTCCTTTCCTCCCATCACTGCCATCTGATCCCCGCCGGCCTATCAGACCCACGCTGCTGTTACCCTACTGCAGCCATTCTGTTAATTATACCTCATGTCACTGGGGCCGCTGTGTGTGTTCAAGCAAGCTCACCTGCACTGGAAACACACTGATTTATCCTTTACATCTTCTAAAGATCAGCCACCGCCTGAGACTGGGTGAAGATCGGGCTCAACGAATATAATTTATCACCTGTAGATATGTGAAAATGTCAAGAGAGAGGAGCGTATCTTGGTTTGCTCTTGAGCGCGGCCTGTCGTGCGGCTTATCTGTGTCACACGAATGACATTTCAGCCTCTGCTCGACATCTGAAGGTATCATCTCATTATGCGTATCTCCTTACTGTTGTGTCACCATTTCTGCGGATGTTATCAACAGGAAGGTGGCTGGGTGGTTAGGATGTGGACAGTTAAAACCATGTCTGATCCTAGTAACCATTACTTACCCACCGCGCTGACACTGAGTGACTCTGAGCGCGCAGGAGGCATCTCTAATTTCTTTACTCTACTCTGCAGTTTACACTTACATTTGCTTAATGACCATCAGGCTGCCTCGATAACATCAGTCCAGTTGTAATTTAAAAGAGTGTGTGTGCGTGCTTGTACAGGATGATAAGGAGAGAAAGCGTTTGGAGGCTCTGGAGAGGAAGAGAGAAAACCAAAGGCTCTTTGAGGAAGAAGTTGGCAAGATAAAGGGTAAACAGACAAAAGAAGCCCCCTGTAAAGTGACTCGAACCCAGATTGAGGAGAACCTACAAAGCGAGCAAAATGTTAAGGAAACCAGGGTAAAAGGTAAGGCCAAATCCAATCCAATGACTTGGATGTAGAGCGCTGCCTACATAGGCAACATGCTAACCATCACAAAACCTCATAAGTGACTGATTTCAATGCTTTCAATGCTTTAAACAGCGATCCAGCGATAAGTGGCTGATTTCAATGCTTTAAACAGCGATCCTGTGTGTCACACAAAAAGCCCTTTATATATAATTTGCATGTTGATAAACTAAAGCCCTAACACTAAAAAAAATTTTTTTTTTTTTTTTTACATATTTGATACCATGTTTTATTGTTAAACTGTTTGTTTAGCACACTATATCATTCCAATCATTAAGGAAACCCTGACAACTTAAAGTCACAGTGAAATGTAATTCATATTGTGGTGTACATTTGAATAAAACAGATTATCGCAAAAGAAAAAAATTACGAGCAGGGACTTGGTTCAATCCATTGGTTGTTCATTGGATGGAGGCGGTTCTGATTGCGTGCCTGCAGTTGATTTTAAGAAAGGGGTGGGGTTTAAGTTGATGTATGCTGGACATTATAAGCCGACCAGGTGGAGTCAAAAAATAAATAAATTAGATGCATGCATTGGAGAGTTGTTCACATTGTAACATTTGCATTTAGAAAATAAATACAGTGTGAAAATAGTGTCATGCTGGCACTATTTGTGTCAGGACAGGAGTTGCACAACAAAATTGTATTGCTGGTCAAAATTCATACTAATACAAGAAGGTTGCATGAATAAAACAAGATGCCCTTATTTTCACACTAAGCATAAAAGTGTCTTTATTGTTTTGTTGTTTTGAATAGGCCTTTTCAGTTTCATCATTTAGTCTTGTGTATCTTTTTAAATCTACAGAGAAAAGCCACTTGGAGATGCCGCTTGAGGAGAACGTCAATCAGATAGTTCCAGAAGAAGGCACGATGGAGGCCCAAACCATTGAGGATGCCATCGCAGTTCTCAGGTAACCTGTTCTCTGGAAAAAAAATGTATGGAGTGATAAGGAGACTCTGTTGTTCTACAAACATTAAAAAGATCTACATTTGTAAGAGTCACAGTTCTCAGATGGTTGTGCTCTTAAGTGCTCTTCTTCCAAAGTCTTTATCAAAAGGTTTTGTCAAAGGTGATAAAAAGTATGAAATATCTTATAGGGTACAACAAAAAGCCTAATAATTATCATTTTAGATGCCTTGAATTTTAAGGTGGAAAATAAGAATCACGACGCACCTAATGTGATTATTAAACTTCAAAAGCCTATGATTTAATTAAATGCTACACATTCAAAGTCAAAACGTGGCGCTGTTGCATGTTCTACAGGTTTGCCATTTCAGAGCTGTTTGCAATAAATTAATACCAGCCATTTATATATTTTTTTACACAAGCGATTGCTTGTGATTTACTGATGATGAATTATGGCAACATTTTTATATTTTAATATGTTGTAGATGGAGGTAAGAGTGCGTACTTTTTTTCTCCCTCAACTTTTTGAATGAGCAGCTGGAAGTATAAAGAGAAGACATTTCAAAATAAGGGTCCTAGTGTATGCATAGTGTTGTGCACTTTTTTTTTTCTGGTTATTGATTACACAATAAACTGGCATTTATTTACGTGTAAACTCTTGTGACTTCTCTCTGGGCCACCCCGTCACAAGAAGGAAAGGCTAAGAACATCATTTAACACATTCACTATATAGATTTGACTAGTATTGGCACAATAATCTGTTTATTATCTGCCTTTTTTTAAAGCTAGATGTCGTTCAACATTTGGTTCATGCTTGTTTTTCAGCACTAAGGAAGACCTGGATCGACACCCTGAGCGGCGTATGAAAGCCGCCTACGCTGCGTTTGAAGAAGCAAACATGGCGCGCCTTAAAATGGAGAACCCCAATATGCGACTTTCCCAGCTAAAACAACAGCTCAAGAAGGAGTGGACAAAGTCTCCGGAAAACCCCCTCAACCAACGTGTGGCAACCTACAACTCCAAGTAAACCAACACAAGGGCACTTAAAGTCTGACCCTCGGCGCAGATCCTAACAAATACAAAAAGGCACCATGATTAAATTTGGACACAAAATTTACACATGAACAGCTGATCTATTCGCATCCTCACCTCATATGTGAACTCACAGACAAACTTGGATTATTTAACTAATTATTCAATAAATGTCTGATGATGTATGAACTTAATTCGCTTATCTGCTAGACAATGACCTATGAGCTGCTGGGAAGTTTCGTTTTTAGTGAACGCAGAGTGGATTCTCAACTAGCACACCTTTCCTCCACATAACATGTTTTACTGCTGTGTTGAGTTCATTTATTAATGTCTTCATCTAATATGCGGAACATGACCTGAAGTGTGGTTAACCTGAGGAAAGTTTTTATATTTTTTATTTATGGAGAAGAGAAAGGTGATCTGATAATTGCTCTAAATTAAGATGATATGGATAGAGATTTGTGTGCTTGATTGATCTTACATGGCTCTTTGTTTTGAAAATGCACTTTGGACCTGGTATGGAACCGTGTCTCCACATCCCAAAGGCGAGTGGACTAATAGCCGTTGGACTGCCATACACGCGTGTCAAGCAGTGCGAACACATTCTGGTCTGTGGAGGAGTACAAACACTCTCAGTGGCTCTTGGAAAAAAATGTAAATAAAAAGTAAGGAAGAAACGGCTATTATTACATTTGCTGATGTTTTCCTTTAAAAGAAATGGCCTTGTACGATGCAAAGCAGTTGTAGCTGCAGTTTACTTTCTTTTTTTGGTCTCTTATTTCATTTATTTTATTTAAGTTGGTGTCTGTTTTGACTAACCCAAGTTTGTTCCTCTTTTACAAATATTGAATTGTTGACTGCATTTGTCAAGCTGAGCTCAACTCTTGATACCCAAGTTATTGTAAGAAGAAAAAAAAATGATAAAACAAATATTTTTCCTCAGAGCTGAGGAACGGAGAACCACAAACCAACATATGGTCCAAAACTAGCTAATAAGTCACACCAAATGATGGATGGATCACAGTTTAATTTAGGCTAACTTTACAACTGTTACTTGCAACCTTTGCTATATATAAGCATTTTACATAGTACATTTACTTTAAATATTAAAATATATTTAATATATTAATTTTATATTTTGATTTGATATTTAATTTGTCTCATATATTTTACATTTTATAATATTTAATTGTTTTTAATAGTTTGACCCCTAAAATGGACTTTTTAGAGTTGCAGGTCTTATTTCGCACAAAATTCATGAAAACTGCTAACCCATGATGACATTTTCCCTCGTTCAACCACATTAAAAATGTCCTTGCAGCTTACGTGATAGATTTGCTTTTAATAACGTCTCTGCAGGTACACAAGCGACGAACATAAATGGTCACTGACCCCTGTGGGACGTTCCGGAAGGGAAGGAAATTAGCCTGCAGGCCGGATAATTCCCAGTGGCCACCTTTATCCTCGGCAGGAATGCTCTTTAGCACTTAAGGTAATTTATGGCCATAATGTGTCATCAAGCAGCGTCAAAGTAAGAGAACTGTAGGTCATCATGAGATCATGCTATAACCTCTCCCATTTACTTACCTTCCATTAAAACACTTCTCCCACACAGAATGATTTAATGAATGTGTCCTTTTCATAACTCTTTGACATGCCTGTAAAACAATAATAATGGCAATATTTGAAGACCTCAAATACAATTGTGAAACAATAGTGGTTTAATCAACTTCAATATCTCTGAGCCAAGGGGGTTTTAAAGCAAAGATATTACTCGCATAAGAATGCAGTTTTTTTTTTTTTTAAACCTATTTGCACATTATTAGTTGTGACCCACTGAGAGTGTTAATTAAAAAACATCCCCTCCCTGCACTCAAGGGCAGTGACTATATTTGGCTAATCTTTATTAGCAGCACTGGTTCATCGTGATCATTTTATCAAGATCGCTTTAGAGACCGGGCTTCTTAAGTGCAGAATTCTTTGCTGAATGAGTGGTCTACTCACAAGATCAAAAATAAAATCGCTGATACTCCACGCAGCATGATGAATCTAAGAGGGAGAGACCCTGCTGTCTTAGAGAGCATCAGGCCTAAAATAGCACGTAGTTCCCTTATCTGCAGAGTCTCCAAGCATCACTGATTGATGACTGTCCACATTTGTCTACCACAAAATGCAAAGTCTGCCATTATTCATTCTAGATCGAGGTAGTCAATGAACAAATCTGTGGCATTGAAAATGTTACCTGCCTTTGCAGCACAAAATGCTGAAGAACATGATCAGGTTTTGTTTAAGTGATACTGAATTCTACTCATTAACACCAAAACTAGGAAATTCATTTACATATTTTAATTTAACTTTTAAACTTTTAAGTTTTGAAACATTTGTAATGATTTTTTAATTTAAAAATAAAGCAATAATAATTTGCTTAGAAAAATACATTAAAATGCTTAGCAGATGTTGTTTGTTTGTTTGTTTAATTTAAAATGCAAAAAAAAAAATTTAATTAGTGGACCACATTTTGTGCCATAACCCTCTAACATTGTTAAATTATTTAATGATAAACATTAACCAAAACTAATACAAAATTGTATTATAACAATTATTAGTTTAGAAAAATGCTGAACATTTTATTTTATTTTTATTTAAAAAAAGACATGCAAAACAAGCATTTAAATTTTTTTTTTTTTTTGTAGACTTTTGGGCCCCACTGTATTTTTTTCCGCATTTTGTACCATGTCCTATTAGCATTGCTAAGTTATTTAGTGACAAACATTTACTAAAAATAACAGCCACTGTTTTATATTAAAAAATAGATATAGAAATATATTAGAAAAATGTGAAACAAATATTATATAGATAGATAGATAGATAAAATCATTTGCATTGGTGGGCTTTTTTTAGTACACTTTTGGGCCCCACTGTATTTTTCCACATTGTGTCCTTCTAGCATTGCTAAATTATTTAGTGACAAACATTAACCAAAAATGACAATTAATTTTTTTACAATTAAGAATAAATTTTGAAAAAAAAAAATAGAAAATTGCAAACCAGAAGCATTTTAATCAGTCGCCCTTTTTTTTAGAAGACTTTTGGGCTCCTAAAATATTTTCCCATATTTTCCCACATTTTATACTGTGTCCCTCTAGCATTGCTAAATTCTTTAATGACACACATTACCCAAATATAACCCTCTGTCGATCTAAAATCAACCCTCTTCACTGCAGTCTTAAACTGAAGCTTAAATGGAGGACCATACACACACTTCAACGCACTGAACCCTGCTGGTTGTGTACATGTACATCTCACGTATCTATGTTTCCGTCCAACACTTGGTGTGATGTGTGTTGCTCTTTTATCTGAGCTGTCTCTGTGGCGGGAAAGATAAGAGGGTTTGGGAAGGCCTTTGAACTGCTGAGCATCAATCGCAGATTTCTCTCCCCTCTATTTCCTCATCAGCAGACCTCAATGTATTCGACTACCTCAGCCAACCCGAGCAGTGGACGCAATAATGATACCCGACACTTAAAGCAGCAAGTGTTGTGGTGTGTGCAACATATAGTGTTTTGCTCTCCCTCTGTCTCTCCGTGCTGCTTGTTTCTTTGTCTCCTTATCCATTTGCATGCCAACCCTTATCAAGCTGGGCTGTCCTTTCTTCAGCCTGCATTTTAATTATGCGTCTCAAAGAGAGACCGGCCGGCCCCCTACATCTGACAAGCGTCTGAGGAAAAAGCTGCATGTCTGATGACTAAATCCTGTTTTCTCGGAAAAGCGCCCATCACTCAAACCTTACGTATGTTAGGGGAGCCAAGTCTAACATGCTCGCCGAACGAAACGAGGATGCTGCTTTAAGGTAAGGATGACGCTGTTTACAATTATTAGTATTTCTATATCTATATGTCAGATGCTTATGATTTTTAAAATCTTGTCTGCAGAGATTGAGCCTTTTGAAAAGTTCATTCAGCAAATACAGGTCTAATCAACAGGTGTCATTCCTGAGTAATGCTAGAAAAAAAGTCATTATTGTACAATATTTTTACATATATTTTAGGCATTATGTCTTAAGATTTTACTCCTATTTCAGTTTTAACTAACTGTTTGCTCAAAGCAGATTATCATACTGTATTTTCGGACAGCCGTGTTTGATTATACATGACGCATGGGAAAATATCCTTTGTTTTTATGACACACAAGCCATTCACTCTTTTATTTTGTTTTAATATCCATTTTGATCTGTTTTATGGCATAGAGGGAGATATTTAATCACAAGTTACCTCAAAATTATGTTTATAAAGGGCCAAAGTGTTATCAAGGGTGTTACGGTCTGTTTGTTTTATATATATTGTAAATGGCTAAGGTGTCATCCCACAAATTAGCGTGAAATCTCTTTCCCGCTGCCCAAACCCCCCGTCAAGGGTAAAGTAATGAACACTCATCTGCTTGTGACAGGGCCTCTCCATCTTTCTCTAGCCGTTAGACAGGAACATGCATTTCTTCATACAAAAGAGCATCTGCAATGACAACACCGTTAGTGCAAATGGAAATTCAACACAGGAACAACCATTTCGCAATGTTTTCCTGAGCCGTTCTCAGAAATATATGAATCAGTTTGATAGGCTGACTTGAGATGAACACATTTTAAGTGTATCAATTTAATTTAACTGTAAACTGTGATATTTGTTTCCATTCTGAAACTGAATATAACAGTAAATTTCCATTTACAGACATTTATGCTTAATGCAAATGAATCTGAATTAACACAAACCGCGGTAGTGTATTTATGACTATTGATCGTTGCCGCCTCATACCGCTGATCTTGAGGCAGTGTTGCTTTTCTTCAGGCCTGGATTTTTTCTAAGAAAATGATCCAAGATCAGCAGAAAGGCAATTAAAGGTAAAAATCTATATTTAGAGTGTGTGTAACCTCCTCGTAGCTGTGGGCAAGAAGTTCGAATGCAGTTTAATGAACAGGTGGAACGGCAGGAGGAGATATATAAATAATGCACACTGAGAGGCCTTTATATAAGAGCTGTCAGCTTGATTGCTAAAAGAATTACTTATGTTCACTCCCTTGTACAGGTTAAAATAGAAAACAGATGGCCCTTCTGTTGTAAAAGTGATACCAGGATATTAAATACCTGATAGCCCATAAAATTGCTCTGTTTGTATGGTGTGCTGTTTCCAGGCCCTGAGTGGTTTTACAAATTACAATCTGGTCCCTCCGAGGAGGTCTGATTCTGATGTCAGACTACAGAAATGTGTTGAGATTGTTTCATTTAATTTAACAAAAAATGATTGTAGACAATTGTACAGATTCTGTCTGCTGAAAATGACATGTACTACTTAGTTAACACCTTACAATCAGGTTCAGTTTGTTTACATTAGTTAATGCATTAAGTATCATGAACTAACAACAAAGAACATTTTTAATGACATTTATTAATCTTGATTTATTAACAAACTATAATAGACTATGTGCATTAACTAATATTAACTTTTATAACTTGAAGTGATATAATTGTATTAGTATGTGCAGAAATTAACCAAGAAATAATACATTCTAAAAAGTATTTCAGAAACATTTCACAATAGGTAAAACAGCTTCTGCAGCATTAATGTCAATATGAATTTAATGATAATTTCAACATATACATTTTTAAAATCAAAAGTGTATCTGTTAACATTAGTTAATGCACTGTGAACTAACATGAACAAACAATGAAGAATTGTATTTTTAATTAACTGATATTAACATTAATAAAGGCTGTAAAAAAAATTATATTGCTCATTATTAGTTCAGGTTAACTAATATTAACGAACAGGCCCTTATTGTAAAGTGTTAACAGTATTTTTATTGTCAGTTTATGTTACATATTAACAGATTAAACCTTAAGTGTTATTTATTTCTCATTTGAATATGAGTAGATGTAAAATGTGTTTAATGGTCAAACAAATTTCCTATTCACTTTAACAAATACTCTTCTGGTGTTCATTCTGAAATGTTCAGCCTGTAACCTCACAAAACTACTGACTCTAGCATTGACAACTGAAAAGAGTTTTTTGTTGTTGTTTTTTTTTTTTTTTAAACGCTTCCAAATGCCACACTGGGGTCATTTCAGCAGGCAATCCCACACACGTACATTTCTGAACATGGATTGGGAAAGGGGAATTAATAATTCATGTGGTTGTAAGCAACATTGCCTCCAAAACCAGCAAGCAAATGATACTTCATTCTGCCCAGGAACCCATACAGGTCTCCAGGACTAATTACTTAATGAAAAAGATCAAATTACCGGCTTTCTTCATCTGTGCCCCAGATCCACTCTGAAGTTCAACTCCAAACTTTGGCATCACCCTCTCTGACATCAGCACTCAATCCTGTGAAAACCGACACTACTATCCTGAAATCTAAACGACTTTACTCTTGGGTTTCAAGGCTTTTTAAATATTGGTTTAGGTGCATGTGCTGACAGAAGGAATAAAATGGAATACTAGCATAGTTTATTGTTTGAGAACACAAAGGCAGATTTCATTTAAACTGATGTCCATTTATTCTCTGATCTTTTTGCAGGTCACTTGGAGATGCATGATAAACCTGGCCATCAACTCACAGAAAATTATAACAAATTGGTTTTTTAAACAGCTTGCAGAATTATTAGGCCTATTATTATTATTATTATTATTATTGTAAATATGTTTTCAGCATTATATAGTACGATTTTTAGTTCCATCTTTTTAACTGATTACAATTGGTAATTTCTACACATAATCTTATGTTATTAAAATGGCCAAACCTTAGTTGCCGATGCAAAACAACTTAAATGTCACTTACTGCGTGGACAATTCACCTTGACCAGCCATGAGTACAATGTTGCCAGATCAGGACTGTGATTTCAGTAGCCTATTTCTCGAATTCCTGAGTCACCTTTACTGGGGATCAAACCGGCAGAATTTGTGTTAGCAACCTAGATCCTTCACCATTAAGCCATTACCACCTCCTAAGGAAATTTAGACGGGCGCCATGGACGACGACTTTAAATGAATTGAAAAAGTATTAGATTTTGACGTAATCGGTCTAGGTTCCTCTTGCGCACACAAACTGTAATCTGGTGCTATTTAGCTCAATGTCAATAACCTAATATTATTTTTAAACAAACACTAATGTTTTCAGTGATATTTAAATCTTAAACAGCACTTCTCGCCCTTTACGCACACATCGCCCGAATCTGGAACCGCAATGGAATCGCTCGAGCAGCTTGCTGTTGCTATGGTTACACTCTCAGGCGAACACAACTTTTATTTGTTGGCGTTTGTTCGTTAAACCTGCAGTTATATGAAAAATGTATTTGAACTAAGACGCCCCAACCTTTTGTTTCGATTTCCTTTAGGGGGGTTCAAGCCTTTAATTCGGGGAGTCTGCTTTCCCCACACCCTCACTTCGCAACCACGTACTGTGCACTTTTCTTAATGTCCTCATTCATATAAACAGTTCGACAGTCACATGAAGGCGGGGCTCCCTGTAACTCCATAGTGACGTGATGAGGCTTGTCTTGGTTAAACCTACCAATGAAACGGGCCTTCTTGACTCCACCGGGGCTGCGCACAGCGAAAGGGTGCCGGATCATTGCAACGCAAAGCGGCACTCCGCCGCAGGTGAGGCGGGAATGCAGCATCGCTACTCGGGAGCCGTCCATCAGCACCACCACCACCAACAACAACACGCGGAGCACAGGGGTGGCCCTGGTCAGACTGCACACCCCTTGCCAAAACAGAGCCAAGAGAATCTTCCCAGCACTTTCAGTCAGGAAGCACCAGTCAAAAGCCAAGGGAGCCACCCAAGTCTCGCAGACTGTTCCAAACCCCCCCTAAATCGGCAGCAGAGTGTTGGAGGGGCTGCCAAAACTGCGAATTGCCAACAAGATCATTGTTCGTGCAGCTGCGGATTGCAAGAGCATCAACAGCTGTTGCAGCAGCAGCAGCATCAGCATCACAACCCTCCACCTTCCCTCCAGCTACAGGTTCAGCAGCAGCGGCTGCTGAGGAGCAGCCTGCCCAACTGCTGCGTGAGGGGATCCGGGGAGCTGAGAAGCCAGCAGCCGGCTTTGCTGCTGCAGCACCATGACAACGACAGCCTGAGATCAGGCCAGCAGCGGAATTTAGCTCATCACGCCCGTGCGTGGACGCCTGATAGATGCCAGGGAGCCAGGAACTCCGTTTCGCCGCGGAGTAAAAGCAGCCCGCTGTCTTCTGACAGTCGCCTGTGGCTCGAGGAGAATAAACACAGACACGAAGGCTATAAGGTAAGCCTGCATACACTGACTCGTTCGTGCGCATGAAATGCGCATCGTTTATGCATGCACTCTGAAGTTTATGCTTAACAGGTGGCCAATTTTATCAATGCACCCGATTACGCAGGCAGCGAAATACTGGGAGGTCATGCTTGAAATCGCTTGCCATTTTTAACACCAAATTTCGGCCGTGTAGATGCAGAGGCTTTGTAGTTGCTATTGGTATTCGTGTTAACCTCGAAAGCATGGAAAGAAAGAACAGGCGGGGGGTGCTTGCAACAGGCTGTCCATGACTCCCATGATGGCGTTTAATAGTAAGTAAGCATTATGAAGCATTCATTCATTCCTACACCTGCATCATTCGTATGTAGTCTAACCCTGAATATTTATACCTCATTATGTGAGTATCAGCTAAGCATTATTCTTGAAATCTATCTATCTGTCTGTCTATCTATCTGTCTGTCAGAGCATTCGTCGCCTGAAAGGACCTGGGGCTGAAAAGCAAGGCACAAAAGGCAAATCAGTGTCATTCATTCCTTGTGGGAGAGTCCACCCTGTTTCTGCCTAGCTGTTCCATTTTCTGCCTGTACAAGCCAAGGGAAAGCCCCCCTGAGTGGCACTAACATGTACTTCAGGCCTGTATTATTCATGATGGGTTAGACATCACTGCCAGAACGGAGAGACATTATCAGTTTAGTTCACAATGCACAGCAGATGGAGGTAAAACCCATCAGTGATCTCTTCCCATGAAATCTCCCATAAGTCTTTCCTGTTGTTTGCGTCAGTGCCTGTTTCTTTCTCCGCTTGACTGGTTCTTGTGTTTGACTGCATTGTGCTTGTTCTAAAAAAAAGTGATTGTTCTACCTGTGGCATTTGATTAATTTGTTATTTAATTCATTGTTTGATGCACAGCATTGGTAGGAAGTAAAATAACCCTGGGAGCTCAAAAACACAATTAGCTGTTTGTACAAATCTGTCTTTTAGGAAAACCACATTTATGCAGAATTCTCTCCAGAGTTGGGTTATAATTATGTAAATATTTATGCAGAGTTTACAGTTAGGCTTCTTCTTGATTGTGCATGAGAGGGAGTGAAAGCACTGGGATGTGCCGTGGATGTTGAGGGAATGACTTGTTCAGTATGAGCGAGCAGGCAGAGGGGAGAATCTCCGGGTGTTGTTGCTCTGCAGCTGTTGTTCTGCTGCTTAATCAAGGGTAATTTGTGGAGAGTATAATTGGCTGAGCTCTCTTGTCTCTGTGTGTATTCGAACTGAAACAGGCCCAGGGGTCTGCAATACCTATACGATATGTGTGTTTGTATCTACTGGAAGTCAGACTATGTCAAACCCTATTGCTGGGTTAGTATAGATTATTAAAGGAATAGTTCACGCAAAAAAAGAAAAATGGCTGAAAATGTACTCACCCTCAGGCCATCCAAGATGTAGATGAGTTCGTTTTCCGATGAAGAAACATAGTTGGAGAAATTTAGCTTTTCATCACTGGCTCACAAATGGATTCTGTGCAGTGAATGGGTGCCGTCAGAATGAGAGTTCAAACTGCTGATAAAAACATCCCAATAATCCACACGAATCTAGTCGATCAGTTAACGCCTTGTGAAGCGAAAATCTGTGTTTTTACCAAGCGGCAACTTCCCGGTCTCTCGCTTGAAGCCAATACTGAAGTGACCTAAACTGCAATTCATCAACTGACCG